ACACCCTTAGATTAGAACAACACAAGTGAATCCTTTAGAGTACCACAAATGTGCGGGGTGCTAATACCTTTACCTCGCGTAACAAACTCCCTTACCCGATCTCTCGGTCATTCAACCTTGATTTCACCCTTCTCAGGTTTACTCGATGTTTACCTTTCCCTTCATGTGGGATAAAAAATGTTCGATGGCGACTTCATTGAATTTTACCTTTGATGATTGGTCCAGTTGTTTCACTAGCGTGTGGGAGAGTAAATTGTTTGTTTGTATCGCGTTATAATGGATAAAACATCATTCATTTATAAAACATTTCTGGTCGCTCTAAGGTGGAAAAAAACTGGTTTGATTGGTTGAAGTTATTTTTTAAATGGACGACGAGTATTCCATTAATATGGCATACACCAACCTACCGTTTATTAGAGGAGCATGTGGATTTGCATCCATCCATCCCCTTTTCATCCGAGTTTAGAATTTTGAAATTTGTTGGAGGAAGACGAACATTCGATCAATATGGCATACGTCAACCAACTGTTTATTCGAGGAGCATGTGGATGTATATCCACCCATTCCATTTTCATCCAAGTTTGATTAATGTGTGTTATTCGAAAGGAAAATATTTGAATAATATAAAATACGTCAACCAAACATTTATTCGAGGAACAAGTGGATGTTCATCCACCCATTCCTTTTTCATTTGGTTTTAAGCGGAAAAAATACTTGATGTTGATCAAGTTATTAAAAGATAATTTGATTTGTGATTTGAAAATGATTTGATTTTGAGTTAGAATAGTTAGATTATTATTTAAAAAAGGGTTAAATACACGTTACCCTGTATAATTTAAGCGAATTTTGATCTACCCACCTATAAAAAAATTGGATTTCCCCCTTATAATGTTTACATTCCTTTTTTTACCCATTTTTTTAATAATTATTTTTTAAAACACTAATTTTTTTTAAAAAGAATTTCACCTAAACATATCACATCACTTAAGGGGGTCAAAGAAAAGGAATCTAAATATTATAAGAAGGGAATCCAAATAAAATTTTACAAAGAGATAAACCGAAATTCACTCACATTGCAGGAAATAACATATATTTAACTTTTTAAATAATGAACATAATTTTTATTTTAAATAATTAATTTTCTTGATGAAAATTAATGATCAAAGGGCTTGTTAATTTCTCATATATTTATCCTATCAAAAACAATTATTTAATCAATCTATAAATTTAATAAGGAAAATTAATAAATAAATGAAAATAAATAAATAAAAGAACGACGCATGCAAGTGTTGGGGTGATTTGCAAGGAGAAAAAAATCCAAATGGGCTTGAAGCCCAAGAATAAAACTAGTAAAATAGAAACAAACATATGAGGTGTGCACAGTAGTCAGGTGTGTGATTAAAGTAAAATAATCAAGGCCCAAAGATGAAAGAGCCTAATAGACCAAACCACAAAAAAAATAGATGAAATGGATGGTTGAGATGAAGTCTGAAAACTTCATCTTCTTCCTCCCTCATCCATGAACAAAAAAAATGAAAAAAAAAGTCCATAATCAATTTGGAAATCCATCAAACGCTCATAAATTCGATAACAAAACACGCGAAATCAATCTATGAGCCATTCAAAACGCGAAGCACCAAGCAACATGTAATGATCAATCAACAAAAATGGAACCTTAATGCGCAATTGGAGCTAGCTTGAACCAACAATTTGAGAGGTTTTAGATGAAAATGATGGTGGAGTCGTGTTTGGGGTCATGTTGCGATGTGATTTGTGTATTTATTTGTTTGAAATAGTTAATTTGGAAAAATCTGAGTTTGTGGTTTTGAGTGCTCAAGAACAATCATGAACATCAAGAACCCAATTTTTTAAATTCCATCAATTGGTCGTTGTTTTATGGGAAAAAAAGTTAGGGATTAGGTGCATACAAGGTGTAGAAACACATTTATGCAAAGAAATCAAGCAAAATATGAGGATTAAGGTTTACCTAAATGAAAACACTCGAGAACACGAAGAACACCAATGTGTTTTCCTGTAAACAAACCTGAATTCCGACCAAACTCTAATTAAGTTCTCGCAAGGCTCATTTTCCAATTTTATTTATTGATTTGGACTCCTTGAAACTTCCTCCACCACTTCCAACCAAAATTTACTTGAATTAATCAGAATTTTAAAAATCTAAGTTCAAATTGAAATTGAATTTTGAAGGTGATGCAAGTGTTTTTGGATAGTGTTTGGATATATAAAGCTAATAAATTATGATCAAGGGAATTAGTGTGGTGTTTGCTAAAGGTTTAAGGCTTCTTTGTGAATTTATAAAGTTTCTTCAAGGTGAAGAAACTTGAATTTGAGAAGTGAGTTTGATGTAGGGATTTGGATAAGTTTAATGGTGATTGTTTTTGTCATTTGCTGATAGAAATGGCTTAATTTATAGGCGTAGAGATTAGGTTAAATGAACTTCTTGATCTATCAACCACTTTCTTATAGGCACATAATTCCTACATAAACGCCAATTCTCACGGACCTTAAGATGAGTTGTATGAGCAAACTCTTCTATACAATGATGATAGGGACTACAAACTAAATACATGTTGGTCTTTTCAAACTTTCATACTATCTTTTCACCTTAACACCTTCAAATAAGAGAGTTTTAAGAATTTTTCCACTTCTTTTACTCCAACAAGAATATGGATCAAATTGTTATTCAACCGCTTCCCATCAAAAACCATCAAAATCAGAGAGCCTCACATTATCTACTAAGAGAATATTTGGCCAAGGATTTACCAATGAAGAATTATCATACAACCAATTGTGACCCTAAATTGGAATATAATCTCTTGATAAAACACTTCGCCTATAATGTCCTCGAATAACAAACTTAGAGTTCTAAATACTATGCAACACATAAACATAACTGGAGTTATGTCCAATAAATGACTCAAGCAAATCACAACTAAGAAAATATTTTGCTTTGAATAACCGAGTGATTAGATTAATTGGACTTGAGATAAACTTCCAAGCTTGTTTACCCAACATGGCATAGTTGAAGGCACTTAAAATTTTGAACCCCCTACCTCCATTATTCTTATGCATAGACAAATGATCCCTAGACAACCAATGAATACCCTTAGCCAGACCCCTATTATACCCCCATCAAAAAGAGTTTATTATTTTCTAAATTTTGTCACTTAAGGACGATGGCGATAAGAATATGCTCATGAAATAAGAATGAATAGACTGGAGAACAACTTTAATAAGAATCTTTCTTCCCGCCTGAGAAAGACATTTACTATTCCATGAAATTATCTTATTCCAAACTAGTTAAATATCCGTGCATCCGCTCGGATTAAAATAATTTTGTATAGCATAATTATGATCAATTACATATTGAGCAATATTTATGCAAATTGTTTTGTTTGGATCTAATTGATTGTGTCCCATACTACTTCATGAAATATATCAATCACATTTTCAATATTACATTCAAGTGCAAATAAGTGATAACATCACATAATTTGAATGATAGATATCACATAATTTGAATGATATTCAACTTAAGGAATTTGAGTAAAAGTTTAAACCTACATGTATTCAAATGAAAGTGGAATATAAACATGGAGTAATTAGATTATTGAGAACATTACATTTACCAGTCATATACACCAAAAAATACTTAACCATTCCATAATGATGAAAACAAACACGTTCATCACATCAAATTCTATATAATATAGACCAGAAAAGGGAGATGAGTTCATCAATCTCTATTGAATGCATCCCAACCTCATTTAAGATAAACATATGCAAGCTTGGTTTAACACTGGTAGAATAGCATGTGTTGCATCAAATATAACATATAAGTCACATACAAATGAAATAATAAAATTGGAAATTCATGGCTAATTAAAAATCACACAGATAAGCACTCCTCAAATGAATAATGAATCTATAATAATTTAAAAATAGTGGTAGATTGCAGCAAAGTTACCATCTCCATCAACAGTAACAGTTTGTTTGTATTTTCTTGTCTTGATCAACTCCAACAACAAAAACATAGTCACCACATATCCATCATACTACTAATTACTTCACATTTGTCTTTTTTTGAAGCATTATGTGCCCAGACTTTGTAAAAATAATTTAAATGATGGTCTCAAAATTGACTTATAAGAAGAGGTCATTTTATTTACATTTGATATATGCATTTCAATTGTTTAAAAAATTTATAATCAAGAATTCCCCTTCTATACATATTAATAAGGCAATATAATTAATTATTCTTCCCCTTTTATTTACCTTTTATATTTTTATATTTCCCTAACCATAGAAGCTTATTAATTATTCTTGAGGAATCAAATTTAATGCACCAATAAAAAAACTAAAATTAAAATATGGCTGTTATTAAACGTAATCTCGTCCCGGTAACTAAACAATCGATTTATAAATTCTATAAAGAAACTAAAAAATCTATCAAGAAACTATATCATCTATTTGAATAAAAGAAAACTACCACTTGTTTATTTTGTTAAATCTCTAATCAGAGTAATAAGAAAACACTTAAATGATATAAATATGTCATTTTCTTCCAATCACTGACCTATTCCTAAAACTGGTTGAATCCCTATGATATTAGCTATCTCACCATTTACATTACTTGTGACATTTCTTCTACATAATTTTTTTTTTGAAAATTAATAGCTTGTCCTAAAGCTTCTTAATAAGTGGCAAGAATATTTTTTTAACACATTCGCTTCATTCACCTCATCTCAAAAGATGCATTCGGTTGAAACTTACATTCATATCTTTCAAACAAATTAAAAGCCAGTTTTCTTGATCAAAACTAGCATGATTAACCATAAGTTAGAAGAGTTAGAAAATTACATCACAACAACATATTAACGATGGAAATCTAAAATATCCTTGGCAAATAGTACACTGAAAGTCATGCAATTGTTATTAATTGTTAACCCGTGAATCATTTTATGAATATCCTGCAAAGATTAAGAGCTTGGCTTCAATGTGTTTCCAATATCAATCACAAATCGAAATTTCACATCCGCTTTAGCGAGACGCTCCATTGCTGTGTTAACATAATCAATCGGAACAATCTCAATATCAGGTTTCACATCATGTTGAGCTGCAAAATCAATCATTTCTTGTGTCTCCTTTATCCCTCCAATATTACTCCCAGCTATTAATTTTCTCCCTACAAATAAAGTGAAATTTACACAACGTGTTAGTAGTGGCGTAGTTGATAGTTGATAGAAGGTAATTTTAGAGAGTTGTTTAGAAAGAAGGCTATGTCATTGATTTTTTGGATGATGCATTAAAAGATATTAAATGCCTATTTATAGGCTCAAGTAACCAACCTCTCAATGGTGGTGAATGTTTCTACATTACTTTAGATTTTTCTAGAATTTTCATGATATGTTAGTATCATGATAGTTCTGGGTTCTTCTATCTTTTACATACACTTATAGTTCTAGATTATTCTACCATACTCATACACACTATAGTTTTTAAGGTATTCTACCATTACCATACATAATATATTTAGAATATTCTAGAAATTTGTAGCAATTTCAACACTCCTCCTTGATGCAAATTTCTGTAACTCCAAGTATAGTTCGCAGCTCTTCAAATCTTGGTCTCGGTAACACCTTCGTGAATATGTCTGCAATTTGTTCTTCTGTTCTGCAGTAGTCGAGTTTGATCTCTTTAGTTGCTTCAGCTTCTCTAATAAAGCTTTATTGCTATGTGTTTTGTTCTACTGTGATGCACTGGATTTTTTGTCATTACAATTGCTAATTTGTTGTCACAATTAATTTTAGTAGGTTCATCTTATTTTTCTCCCATGTCTTCAAGTATCCTGCGAAGCCATATAGCTTGACTCGTTGCTTCAGCAACAGTCACATGCTCTGCTTCTGATGTTGATTGTGCAACTGTAGCTTGCTTCTTCGACGCCCAAGAGAAAATTCTAGATCCTAGTGAGAAGGCATAGTCAGAGGTGCTCTTCATGTCATCTACCGAACCTGTCCAATCACTATCGGGTAGCCAAGTAATCTTGAGTAGTGTACCATATAACAAACTCTTTTGTTCCTTGTAGATACCTTAAAATTCTTTTTCCTGCTCCAAAGTGTATTTTACTTGGACTTTGCATGAATCTTGATAGAAGACTTGTAGCATACATTATGTCTGGCCGTGTAGCTGTCAAATATAGAAGGCTTCCAATTAGACTTCGATATTTGGGTGCATCAGCTTCTGGTGTTTCATCATTCTTCTGTAGTTTCTCATTTGTTATGAGTGGAGTAGCGACAGGTTTGCAACCGTACATATTGAATCTCTTAAGTAAGCCTTCTGTGTATTTCTTTTGCGAGATGAATATCCCTTCATTTCTCTGACTTACCTCTATACCGAGGAAGTAACTCATCAAACTAAGGTCGGTCATCTCAAAGGTCTTCATCATGTCTTCTTTGAACTCCATCATCATCTTGGTATTGTTTCTCGTGTAGATAAGGTCATCTACATATAGAGAGAGTAAGAGAGTGTACTGACCTTGAGACTTGATGTAAAGTGTAGGCTCACTCTTGCTCCTCCTGAATTCTTGATCTATGAAATACTGATCAATTCTCCTATACCATGCTCAAGGTGCTTGCTTCAAACCGTAAAATGCTTTTCTTAGTCTTAACACTTTGCTTTCTTAGCTTTCAGAAATGAATCCTTGTGGCTGCTCCACATAGATCTCTTCTTCAAGTACACCATTGAGGAAGACTGATTTGACATCTAGTTGCTGGATACTCCACCCTCTTTGTGCCACAATAGCTATTAGAGCTCTAATGGTATCAAGACGAGCTATTGGTGCAAATGTCTCATTGTAGTCAATCCCAGGTTACTGTGAGTATCCCTTAGCTACTAACCTTGCCTCGTGTTTCTGTATGGTGCCATCAGGGTTGAGCTTTGTCTTATAGATCCACTTAACCCCAATGATATCTTTTCCATGGGGACGATTTACTAACTTCTATGTGTTGTTTTTCTCGATCATCTTTATCTCTTCTTCCATTGCCTTGACCCATACTTCTTGCTTTGATTCTTCTTCGAAGCTTCCATGTTCAAGTATGGCCAAGTTACAGGTTTCATATATGTCCATCAAAGATCTTACTCGTCTTGGAGTAGACTCTGGTGATGATAATTCTTGATCATGTTGTTGTGGTGGAGGTGAAGAAGGTTCACCTGGGCCTTCTTCCTCAGATTCTTCTTGAGGTAGTTGAGCTGGTATAAGGATGTTCTTTTCCACTTTTTCTTCATCCCAATTCCAAGAAGCATACTCATTAACTTCAACATCTCGACTGATGATGAGTTTTTTAGTTTGCAAGTTGTAGACACGATAGCCTTTAGAGATTGTGCTATACCCCAGGAAGATACCTCGTATAGTTTTCTCTTCAAGCTTGTGCCTCTTCACGTCTGGAATATGAATGTAGCATATAGATCCAAAGACCCTTAGGTGCTTTGTTGATGGCTTCTTCCCGTTCCAAGCTTCAATTGGAGTCTTATCTTGTACTGACTTAGTTGGACATCTGTTAAGTATGTAAATAGCAGTGTAGACTGCTTCAGCCCAAAATATGTTAGGAAGTCCCTTCTCCTTGAGCATCGATCTAGCCATCTCCATAACTGTGCGATTCTTTCTCTCAGATACACCATTTTATTGAGGATAATATGCGACTGTAAGTTGTCGCTCTATGCCTTCATCCTCACAAAATCTGTCAAACTCACGGGAGGTGTATTCTTTGCAGCGATCACTTCTTAGTACTTTTATCCGTTTTCCACTTTGATTTTCAACAAGGGCCTTGAAATTTTTGAATACTCCAAAGACTTCTGATTTTTCTTTTAGGAAATAGACCCATGTCATTCTAGAGAAGTCATCAATGAAGAGTATGTAGTACCTGTTGTTCTCGTGTGATAGCGTCCTCATCGGTCCATAGATATCAGTATGAATTAGCTCCAAGAGATATTTTTCTCTCCATGCTCCGCTTGTTGAGAATGGAAATTGGTGTTGCTTACCAAGGAGACATCCTTCACACACTTCATTGTTCTCCTTTATGCTTGGAAAATCTCTCATCATGTTCTTCTCATGTAACAACTTTAAGGCATATGTGTTGAAGTGGCCAAATCTTCGATGCCAGAGCCATGAATCATTAACTTGTACCTTCATGGCAATGTTAGTTGTATGTTTTAAATTTAGAGGGAAGCTTCTATTGCTCTTATTCATCTTCACTTGGATTATCTAGGCCCTTTTATTTTTGTTGTCTAAGATTTTGCATACTCCTCCTTCAAAGTAAAGTGTGTAGTCTCTCTCCATCATTTGGCCAATGCTTAGAAGATTTTCTTTAAGGTTGGGGACTAGTAAGACATCATGGATGAGTTGCGTACCTTTATCTGTCTCCACCGTGACAGTGCATATTCCTTTTGATTCAACCACACTGCCATTTCCCAGTAAAACTTTGACTTTGACAGACTCGTCAATGCTTTTGAAAATAGTCTCATCCTTAGCCATGTGATTTCTACATCCACTATCCAAGTACCAACTTCCACCTTTTTCTTTGACTGAGTCTTGAGTGGCATAGAATATACATTGTTCTTTATCATTCTCCTCTGCGATATTAGCTTGATACCTATTTTTGTTGCGACAATTTTTCTCTACGTGCCCAAACTTCTTGCAATGGTTGCATTGTGGCATATTACGGAACCAACAATTTCTCTCTCTGTGGTCCAGTCTTTTGCATATAATGCATGGGGGATTTTTATTTGTTTTTTTCTTAAGGAAATTCCTAGAACTTTCTCTTCTTCTTGAAGTTTCTCCATAATTTTTCTTTCCTCCATTTTCTTTGTTTTGGGGATGAAATTTGAGCTTTGACTGGAAGACATTTTCAAGTGTATCTTCTTTATGCCTATACAGTCTTTGCTCATATGCTTCAAGAGAGCCCACAAGTTCTGTCACTAATAGATTGGACAGATCTTTGGTTTCTTCAATCGTTGTCACGATTGGGTCAAACTCTGGGGGCATAGTAATTAGAATTTTCTCAACAATTTTCTTGTCAAGAATGTCTTCTCCAAAAGCTCTCATTTGATTAACTATTTCTTTAACTTTAGAATAGTAATCTTTAACTGTCTCAGACTCCTCCATCTTCAATAGTTCAAAATCTCTTCTTAGAGATTGAAGTTTGACAGCACGTACCTTAACGCTTCCTTGAAACTCCTCCTAAAATGTGTTCCACGATCTTTGACATTCTTAGCTCCCATAATTTTTGGGAAAATTGCATCAGTTACCGTTTGTTGCAAGGTGAACAGTGCCTTTGAATTTTTCTGTTTATTTTTCTTCAACTCTTTTTCTTGAGCTGCATTAAGAGCTGAAGTATATGCGGGAACAATGAATCCTTCTTCTACTATGTCCCATAAATCTTGAGAAGAAAAAAATGTTTCTATTTTAACACGCCAGAAATCAAAATTTTCACCATTGAAAATAGGGACAGAAATAGTTGATGATTGAGTGGTGTTATCCATGTCTTAGAAAAATATTGGAGTGGTTTAATAGTACAAGGGGAATTTTTGTAGTTGGGAAAAATTTGAAATGATATGTATTAATTTAACTACGTCCAATGTATGACCGAACGTAGCTCTAATGCCACTGTTAGTAGTGGTGTAGTTGATAGTTGATAGTTGATAGAAGATAGTTTTAGAGAGTTGTTTAAAAAGAAGGCTATATCATTGATTTCTTGGATGATGCATTACAAGATACCAAATACCTATTTATAGGCTCAAGTCACCAACCTCTCAATTTTTGAATAAACATTAAATGTGTTAGTAATAAGTTTTACATTAAGTATGGTAGTAGGAAGGACAAAAGTTTAGTAAGTAATTAAGTTATAGTAGCAGTTATGTTTTAATTTATGTTTTAGAATTGTAAAAGTTGTTTGGGTCTATAAAAGACCAAGTGTGTAATTTATTTGATAAGAGCAATATACAAAATTTTATACAGAAGTCTGATTCGAATCTAAAAATTTGGCATCAGAGCTCATGGCAAACATGATGAATCAAATGCCGTTACCACGGCTAACGAAGTCAAATTATGAAAACTGGAGTATTCAAATGAAATCTCTTCTTGGATCTCTAGACGCGTGGGAGGTGACCCATGATGGGTTTGAAGAACCAACAGAAGTTGTGGGATTTACGGCAGCTCAAACGAAGGCGTTGAAAGAGACGCGGGCGAAGGACAAAATGGCATTATACATGTTGTTCAGGGCTGTAGATGAATCAGGCTTCGAGAAGATTGTTGGTTCGATACATCGAAACAAGCGTGGGACACGTTAGAAAAAGTGTTCAAAGGAGCAGATCGAGTGAAGCAAGTTCGACTCCAAACTCTTCATGGTGAATTGGAGAGGATACCGATGAAGGATACAGAAATTGTATCTGATTACATCACACGTGTGCAAAAGGTGGTGAATCAACTCACCAGAAACGGAGAGACAGTAGATGATGCAAGAGTTGTTGAAAAGATCTTGAGATCTTTAACAGACAAGTTTGAAAATATTGTATGTGTAATAGAAGAGTCGAAGGACCTTTCGACGCTCTCAGTCGAAGAGCTCACTGGTTCTCTCGAAGCACATGAACAACGAAAGATGAAAAAGAAAGAAGAAGCAGACGAAGAAGCAAACCAAACCAAGGAATCGAACAAAGACGAAAAGGTACTCTTTTCTCACAACTTTCGAGGAAGAGGATGTGGACGTGGAGGTCGTGACAGTGGTCGAAGTGGTAGAGGTAGCAACTTCGAAAAAGGACATTAGAGCCAACAAAATTGGTGTGGCAGAGGACGTGGTCAAAGAGGTGGTCGTTTGAATCATTCCAACTTCGAATGCTACAAGTGTGGGAAGTATGGTCATTACGCGAAGGATTGCAACTCCTACAAATGTTACAACTGTGACAAAGTGGGACATCTTGCAAAAGACTGTCGAAATGAAAAGAAGACTGAAGAAACAACCAACCTAGCCTTGGAAGCTGAATTGAATGAAGGCTTTCTCCTGATGGCTCAAAACGAAATCAACACCAATGACAATGTTTGGTATCTTGACTCAGGAGCAAGTAATCACATGTGTGGTTACAAACACCTGTTTAAAGATATGAAGGGAATTGAAGATGGTAGTGTGTCTTTTGGAGATGCATCGAAAGTGAAGGTCGAAGGAAAGGGCACAATCAGTTATTTGCAGAAGGATGGCTTGATTGGATCAATCGAAGACGTTTACTATGTACCAGATCTCAAGACCAATATATTGAGTCTGGGACAACTTACAGAAAAAGGTGCTTTGATACTGATGAAAGATCGAACACTGCATTTGAAGGACAAAGCAGGACATCTGATTGCCAGTGTCGAAATGGAAAGAAATCGAATGTACAAACTGAACCTGAGGAACATTCGAGAGAAATGTCTGCAAATCGAAGTGCAAGACAAAGCATAACTGTGGTATATGCGCTTTGGTCATCTACATCATGCTGGTTTGAGAAGGTTGGCAAAAAGGAACATGGTGCATGGACTACCAGACATGGATTTCGAAGGAAAATTCTGTGAAGAATGTGTGCTCAGCAAACAAACAAGAACCTCATTTCAAAAGAAGGCAGAGTATCAAGCTAAACATATACTCGAATTGATACATACTGACATATGTGGGCCAATCACTCCAGAATCCTTTAGTGGAAAAAGGTACTTCATTTCCTTCATTGATGACTTCTCAAGAAAAACCTGGGTCTACTTCCTGAAAGAAAAATCTGAAGCATTAGAAGTATTCAAAAAGTTCAAAGTAATGGTGGAGAAGGCAACAGACAGACACATCAAAGCAATTCGATCTGACAGATGAGGTGAGTATACTTCGATGGCCTTTGTGAAGTACTATGAAGAACATGGCATAAGGAGATTCCTAACTGCACCATATTCACCTCAGCAAAATGGTGTGGTTGAAAGGAAGAATCGAACTATTTTTGATATGGTTCGATCAATGCTCAAAAGCAAGAACATGTCGAAAGAATTTTGGGCAGAAGCAGTACAATGTGCTGTTTATATTCAGAATAGATGTCCACATTCGAAGTTAGAAGACAAAACACCACAAGAAGCATGGAGTGGACAGAAGCCAACAATTTCTCATCTCAAGGTATTTGGTAGTATAACTTATGCACATGTACCAGATCAACGAAGAACAAAGCTTGAAGACAAAAGTCAGAAGTACATATTCATTGGATATGATGAGAAGACGAAAGGGTACAAGCTCTTCAATCCCATAAGTAAGAAAGTGATCGTGAGCAGAGACGTTCGAATGAACGAAGCAAGCAAGTGGGACTGGAACGATTCGACAGAGGTTGCTGACACAGCCGAAGAAACAACTATAGCTGTACCAACAAGTATTCCAGAAGAACATGAAGAAACAAAAGATGGATATGAACCTCTACAACCCAAAATGAGAAGTTTGCAAGATTTGTATGATTCGACAAGTGAGGTGCATCTGTGTGTCTTCTGGCAGATGCTGAAAATATCAGTGTCGAAGAAGCGTTAAGAGATAAGAAGTGGAAAAGTGCCATGGACGAAGAAATTAGAGCAATCGAACGCAACAATACTTGGGAGCTAGTCGAATTACCAAAAGGTAGTTAACCCATTGGTGTAAAGTGGGTATTCAAGAAAAAGATGAATGCTCAAGGAGAAATCGAAAGATCCAAAGCACGGCTGGTTGCGAAGGGATACAAACAGAAAGCAGGAATTGACTATGACGAAGTGTTTGCGCCTGTTGCAAGAATGGAGACAATTCGATTACTCATTTCTCAAGCTGCTCAGTTCAAATGGCCAATATTTCAAATGGATGTCAAGACAGTATTTTTGAATGGTGTGCTCGAAGAAGAAATCTATGTCAAACAACCACTTGGATATATGAGAACTGGAGAAGAGAAGAAGGTGTTGAAACTGAAGAAATCACTGTATGGGCTGAAGCAAGCACCTAGGGCATGGAACACACGTATTGACACATATTTCAAGGAGAATGGATTCGAGCAATGTCCTTATGAACCAACCCTCTATGTGAAGAAAAATGGAAGTAATTTATTACTTGTTGCACTCTATGTTGATGATCTTATCTTTCTAGGCAGTGATGTTCAGATGATCGAAGACTTCAAAAGCACCATGACAAGCGAATTCGAAATGACAAACTTAGGTCTGATGAGATTCTTTCTTGGTCTGGAGGTTTGACAAGAAGAAGCTGGAATTTTCATATCACAAGAAAAGTATGCAAAGGAAATCTTAGAAAAATATAAAATGAAGAATTGCAATCCAACTTCGACGCCAATGGAACCAGGTACAAAGTTGTCAAAGTTTGATGGAGGAGAACGGGTCGAAGGAAGCAAATATTGAAGCTTGGTAGGTAGCCTTCGATATCTCACATGCACAAGGCCAGACATTTCACTAAGTGTTGGCATAGTGAGTCGATTCATGGAGGAGCCAGTACACACACATTGGAAGACGCTGAAACGAATTCTAAGATACATCCAAGGAACAGTATCACTTGGGATGTTTTATTCAAAGACAGAAGACTACAAGTTAGTTGATTATTCTGACAGTGACTGGTGTGGAGACATAGACGATCGAAAGAGCACTGCTGGATATATGTTTTTCATGGGAAACACAGCTTTTACTTGGCTATCGAAGAAGCAGCCTATAGTGACACTTTCGACGTGTGAAGCAGAATATGTGGCAGCATCCTGGTGCGTCTGTCATGCAGTATGGCTCAGAAGGTTGATAAGCAAGATGAAGCTGAAACATGAAGGTCCAACAATAATACAAGTGGATAATAAATCAGCTATCGAATTGGCAAAGAATCCAGTGAATCATGAACGAAGCAAACATATAGACGTTCGATTTCACTTCATTCGTGAACATGTGAAGGAGGGAATCGTCGAATTAAGGCATGTAGCAAGCAGAAACCAAGCAGCGGATATCTTTACAAAACCACTATTAAAAGAAGTCTTCGACAGAGGCAAGAAGATGATAGGAATACTGGATGAAAGAAGCATTTAAGTTTACAGAGGAGTTTTGTTGAATAAACATTAAATGTGTTAGTAATAAGTTTTACATTAAGTATGGTAGTAGGAAGGACAAAAGTTTAGTAAGTTATTAAGTTATAGTAGCAGTTATGTTTTAATTTATGTTTTAGAATTGTAAAAGCTGTTTGGGTCTATAAAAGACCAAGTGTGTAATTTATTTGATAAGAGCAATATACAAAATTTTATACAGAAGTCTGATTCGAATCTAACATCAATGGTGATGAATGTTTCTACATTACTTTAGATTTTTCTAGAGTTTTCATGATATGTTAATATCATGATAGTTCTGGATTCTTCTATCTTTTACGTACACTTATAGTTCTAAATTATTCTACCATACTCATACACACTATAATTTCTAAGATATTCTATCATTACCATACATATTATATTTAGAATATTTTAAAAATTTATAGCAATTTCAACACAAAGTGAAAATAAAATTCTACACAATTAATTAGAAGTGCAAAACTAGTCTTTTGTCCTGAACCATCCTATCAGACATGAAATATTTTTCATATGCTTACCTTCAAGTAAAGCATATACAGGAAGCTCTAGAGGCTTCACTACTGCACCAACCATTACAAGTTTTCCATAAGATTTGAGTAAACCAATCAGTGGTAAGAGAGGATGGTCTGCTGAAACTGTGTCAATAATAGCGTCCAAAGTACCTATTGCAGCCTACAAAATCATCTTTAATATTAGTTAATCGATTACGCATTTCACAGTTAACTAAGTAACATATTGTATCGTACCTTCATTTGATTCACGTTACGGCTTAACAGAAATGATTCAGCTCCTAAGTGTTCTATTGCTTCCTTTTCTTTATTAGGCGAAGTACTAATTACTGTCACATTAGCACCGAAAGCTTTGGCGAAGTACATTCATTTTTGGCCATATGAAGATCAGTGTGACATATCCCACAATACAATATCTTGAATGCCACATCTTTCTCACCTGTTTCCCTAAAAAAACATATATAATATGGTGCCAAAATTGAACTAATTAGTAACAAAAAACATAGATCTAAACATCAAATAGTAAACCAATCAACATATTCCATCCAAATCAGTGAAAATGCATTATATAAATGAAGAGGTGATATAAGTGAAGTGAACCTTCTAGAGAAATTGAAAGGTGAGAAAACACCAGTAGGATCTCTAGCTGCCCAACCAAAGGCTTTTTTAGGATGTTCAAATTCAGGTTGTGTTGCCATTACAATATGAAGAGAAGGGAGTGAATAAACAGTGTCTCTCTCTACTACTTAAATGAGCTGCTCAAGTTCTGCTTGTGTAATTATTTATTAAGAAAAAAAAAATACAGTAAAAATTAAGTTGTGGCTATTTTTACCAAGATGTGGGACTAGTAGGTACACTTTATGAAGATATTTATAAGTGCTCCCAGGTTGAATTGTGTCCACAATTAATAAAAGATGATAATTTTTTTTACTCATCTCTATAGGTTGGATATTATACTTTCAATCAATAACTTAATGCTATTTAATTTCATTATATTTTATATTTATTAAATTATTTAAATTTGAAAAGTTTTTAAGACAATTTATTTCATATATGATTTTACAAAAAATTTGTGATGGATAGATAAAAAATTTTCTTAATAAGATATTTCCCCAAGCATTATTTTAAAAAAAATATTAAACTTTTGATTCATATTTAAATGTTTTTAATTTTTTGATACTTTATGTTAAATCCAGTTTTTTGTTTCTTAATTTTTATCTCTCTGAAATTTTGTTGGTCATTTCTAATTTTAGAGACGTGACATTGATCATTAGAAAAGATAATTTACTTTTAATAACATAATAATGATGATTGCGATAATTTATTCATTTATTTTTTATAAAACAAATTAATAATTAACAAATTTATATAATTTAAAAAAAATTAATTAATTAAAATATTGAAAACAATTTATTAATCTAGCTAAAGCACAATTCAATTTGACATAAGTATCATTTTTAAACCCTCATTGTCATGCTAACTCATTTAAACAGTTTAAATTTTATAAATTATTAGCGTTCAGATGTGTCCGTGTCTCTGTTTTTTTAATATATATAATAGAAAATTAAAAATGTGTGTATATGTTTTATGAAATTTATATTGTATATTGCGTCAAAATAATATTATTTAGACTTGATTAGTAAAATTAAAACCAAGATGGTAAATATGTATTTTGAATGTATTTTAATAAATTCAATCTATATGTAGTAATTCTGATATTTTCTTATATTAAACTTAAAAATATATACAATAAATATTTATAATAAAAGTTAAATATATTTTTAATCATTATAAATATCTCAAATTTGATTTTTAATTCTTATAAAAAAATATCACGTTTTAATCTTTATAAAATTATATATGTATGACGTTTTACATGTATAAATAATTTTTTAGAGATTAAAACATGACATTATTTTGTATAAAGATTAAAAATCAAATTTTATAATTTTATAAAGACCGAAAACATATTTAACTCTTATAATAATAATCAATATTTTGACTCAATACATGATTTAAAATATATTGTCCAAAACTATAAGATATACATAAAATAAAATAAGAAAAAAAAGTGTCTCACAATTTATTAAGCAAATAAACATAGCTTAATAAGAAGGTCAGCCATAGATTCAAAATCAGAAATATCTTTTGTTTCACTGCAAAAAAACAAATTAAGTAAATTTTATTAGTCAACGATAAGTGTAATCTAGTGAGTATAATCCTAGTGTGACATCACAAAAGTGTATTTGAACGATTAAACCTAATAGATATATACCTGAATTTGTGACAACAAAATGAAATTTTTATTTTATTTTTTACAAAGGACCAACAAAATTTCTTTAAAAATTATATTTTTGGTAAATTCCCCTTCTTCTCCTTCTAGCTTTCCGTCTTTAATTAGTATTTTTGTTGCAGCCCGTAAAATACCTCTTGATAAAGCAACATACAATCGTTCATAACTGAAAATATATTATGGAAGATAGATTTCAATATTTGGAATTATTTGTCCTTGTGATTTATTTATAGTGATTGTAAAGCTTAGTTTGATAAGAAATTATTCTGGACTGGACCCACCCTGGCCCCAAACGCAGATAAAGGTCCAATCCAAACAAACTCTTTGAGGAATGCGCACCTGCGGATCACCGCCAATGTGCCCGACCACAGACTATAACCATGATGCCCGCCATTGCCCGCGACACATAGTGTCCCCGACCAAGGGAACTCTAGCTCGAGTCCTGCTCGAGCACTCTCCCCGTAGGGCAGATTCTATCCTCTCTGAACGTTATCAAATCGTCTAAACTCCGGAAAGACCGCGTCTCCGTCCCTCCTCATTCTTCGCAGAGCACCACCAGAAAGGGGACCACGTGCGGGGCCTCACTACACACGTAGAACCTGGCAGTTCCTTTATTGGGCCAGTTCTGGTCGGCCCAATGAGGGGACCTTGGCCCAGCGCTGGGGGCTATAAATACCCTCTGTTCTAAGAGGGTCAGGTATTCATCTATTACGCACCTATACATTTTTTGTTTGCTTATTTCGTCACTCATTTTAGCATCGGAGTGTCTTGCAGGTACCCCCCCCCCCCATCTCACTCAAATTCTGCTCGAGCCAGTCGTGACGGCCAGTCTGATCCGGTAAGATCAATGGCGTCGTCTGTGGGAAGCTAGCTTCCCCGTCTTGCAAACTCTCGAAGACCAAAGCTAAAAATCACACCATACCGTCATGACTGACCAAGGTCGGGATGACCAGAACGTCCGCGTCGTCGACATCAACCACAACCCCGCGGACAAGAACGGAGTCCCCGACAACACCGGCAACCCCGACCATAGCACACTCCCCGGGGGCACCATCCCCGGGCCCTTGGGCCACCGCGACGGAGCTACTGCCTCATCTTCTTCAGTCCCTCCGCCACTCGAAGAGGACAATACGGCTCCCCCGAACTATTTAGCTGCCCAATTTCAGGAAGTCCTTGTCCCCGCCGGGGCAGATGCCACGACCCGCGCACTGTTCGCGGCAATCAATCAAACCAACTACCTCATCTTTGCCCAGGGAGAAAGATTGAGGGCGCTAGATGACGACAGAAGACCCCCGAGGAAGCACAGGAGGCCTCAGACCCCACCTCCTCAAGTAACAGAGGTACGTCTCCCACGCGGAGGCAATACAGAGACACCTCCCGAAGCCCGTCACCCCGACCATCGGGGAGACGACCCCCCTTGGAGAGGCAACCCGTCATTGAAGCCGGAGGGCACAACCATGGCCCCTCACGACAAGAAAGAAGACACCCTGGAGACAGGTACGGGAGGGCGGACCAACGAGCATCCCGCTCGAGGGGCATTCAGCACGACCAGGATCGTCGGGCCCGACAATATCTCAGGTCCCCGTCCCCATCCCCAGAGCGAAGTGACGAGGACGACCCCCGTGGTCCCCTTTCACAAGCCATCATGGAGGCGCCAATTCCCCCGGGCATGGAGAAGCCTCCGCATCTGAAAGAATACGACGGAGTCGCGGACCCAGTCGACCACATAGACGGGTTCGAGGCTATGTTGCATTACCATAATGTCGGGGGACCCATCAAATGCCGGTTGTTCCCCACTACCCTCAGAAAGGCAGCAATGGACTGGTATAAAGGTCTTGCCCCAGGATCAATCACCTCGTGGTGAAACCTGAAGAATCAATTCATAAGCTCGTTCACTGCGTCTTGGCGACATCCAAAGGCCGAGGCAGCACTCGAGACCATCGTCCAGAGGCAGGACGAGACTTTGAGAGAATTTATCAACCGTTTCAATCGCGAAGCCATAAAGGTCCCCTGTGTGGACCACATGAAAAGGTACTTGCTGGAGAGAGGGCTCCTCCCCGACACAGAATTCAGAAAGGCGGTGGGCATCGAACCACCCCGAACGTTCGATGCTCTCCTCGAGAAGGCCCGGGCATATATGGATTACGAGGAAAGGGAAGCGGCCAACAGAGCCCGGGACCCCAGAACTCGTGGATCCAGCAACAACCTACGCCAAGAGGCCGCTCCTCCCCGATGAACAGGGGAGAAGAGAAAAGAGGACAGACCCCGAGAAGTCCGAGAACAGAGAGGACCCTCATGGCGTTTCACAGAATACACTCCGCTCACGGCTTCCCGCGAGCGCATCTTGGCGGAGTGCGCCAGCACGAATTTCAAAGATGGCGGCGTCAAGCGCCCTCGACCAACTCCTGCCAAACTCAGGGTGGACAAGAGCAAATACTGTTAATACCATAGAAGCCACGGCCATCTGACAGAGGACTGCGTCCACCTCAAGGACGCCATCGAGACCCTCATAAAAGGGGGAAGACTCGCCCAGTATCGACGAAACGACGCTCCTCATCGCGACGCTCGGGATACAAGAGAACCGGAGGAGGATGCCCGACCATATGACGAGTCGGTCCCCATCTAGACCGCCTTCTCCGTCACAAGACCCGAGGACTTCTACGTCCCAGAGCACCTGCAAGAACCGTTGTCAACACACAGCAGGTGGGAGCACTTTCCCTCCGCCATGGTCATCAATGGCAGAGGATTCAACGACCTAACCATAAATTCGGCCAAAAGGAAGCTTGATGAACTGGTCGACTCTACACCTCCTCAGACGGTGACTTTTGAAAGGGTGAAAGATATGTCGGAGCCTATCACCTTCTACCTCGAAGAGCTCCCCGGAGGAGCCCCCAACGCAGTCATTCCTCTACTGATAAGAGCAAGAATGGCTAATTTTGACATACACCGCATCCTCATCGACGAAGGAAGTTCCGTCGATGTAATGTACAGTCAACTGTTCCGGAACCTACAACTCAACGACTCACACCTTTCACCTTACGTGGGGTCAGACTTACAGGGCTTCAACGACTCGACCTCCAAACCTTGGGAATACGTCGAGCTCATGGTTACCTTTGGAAAGGACACGGCGATGAGGCAGGTCAAGGTTCACTTCCTCGTGATCGATTGCCCGTCCCTCTACAACTGCATCCTGGGATGACCAACACTAGCAGAGCTGACCGCGGTACCCTCCACCGTCCACTTGAAGATGAAATTCTACACCAAGAGGGCACGGGTTGCTACCATTTAGGGGGACCTGGCCGCTGCTCGAAGATGCTTCAACACTGCATCCAAGGGACACGACACGGTCGACACCGGGACAAGGCCCCCCAAGAGACCAGCAACGACAAGACAAGAGCCCGACAA